GCAGCGCCGGGGGATAATAAGGAAAAATACAGGGTGGTAGTGGACTATCGTAAGCTGAACGACAACACGTTAAATGAAAAGTACCCGATCCCCGATGGTATTTAGCACGTTGGACCTCAAGGCGGGATATCACCAAATACGGATGCACCCGAAGGATCAACACAAAACAGCGTTTACATTCGAAAGGGGGCATTACGAATTCACCAGAATGCCGTTTGGTCTGAAGAATGCGCCCATAACGTTTCAACGCCTGATGGACGAATTTTTGAGGGGTATCGACGACTCCGTATGTCAAGTATATATGGACGACCTGCTGATTTTTAGTAGAACGGAAACCGAACACGTGGGGCATTTGAGGTCGGTATTCGAAAGGCTGCGGCAATTCGGGCTGAAACTGTCAAGCGAGAAGTCCCTGTTGGGACAAACGCGGATCAATTTTTTAGGCCACACTATTTCTAGCAAGGGGGTCAGACCGGATGCGGCAAAGGTGGAAGCAATCACACGGATGGCGGTGCCACGGGACGTTAAAGGGATTCGTAGGCTTCTCGGGACGCTTAACTATTATCGGAGATTCGTACCTGAGATGGCAGAATACTTGGTACCTATCAACAACTTGCTGAAGAAAGGCGCGAGGATTGTGGTGACACCAGAAATGGAGAATAATATTCGGAAATGCATGAATAGGTTGCAGGCAGAACCCGTATTGGCGTTCCCGGATTTTGAGAAGCAGTTCAACATCACCACTGATGCGAGCGAATACGCGTTGGGGGCCGTTTTGTCCCAGGGCAGAAGTGAGAGTGAACGTCCGATAGCATACGCGAGCCGACGGCTTACGAGCGCGGAATCACGATACAGCGCGTTGGAGAGGGAGCTACTCGCGATAGTGTGGGCTATCGACCATTTCAGGCCATACATATTTGGGAGGAAGTTTCGAGTCCACACCGACCACAAACCCCTTCAGTGGGTAGGGAAACTTAAGGAAACCTCTGCGAGGGTCACGAGATGGAAAGAATTCCTTAGTCAGTACAACACAGAGGTGGCGTATAAGCCGGGAAAGGAAAACGTGGTGGCAGACTGGCTCTCTAGGGCCATCTTGATCAACGCGGTAGAAGAGGACGGGGGAGGACCATCGCGGGACGTGCGCCAATTCTTGAGTGAATGGACTCCTGATGGTGAAGGGGCAGATGATACCGTCAGTATAGAGGACAGGGAGGAGTCCCCGGAAGAAGATAGCTCAGTGGAGGAAAGAGCAGCGGAGATGGAGGAAATAGACGAAATCATTAACGACAAGCATCGGCAGGTAATCTGGAAAACAAGGACAACAGAGATCATGAAAATAGATTACCGAAGACACGGGAAAAGTAGGATTCGCGTCATTTGGTCGCAACCCGGGTTGAGCAAGGAGCAAATCCGTACGGCACTGAAGGACGCCACGGAACCAGGAAAGACGCACCATCTCTATGTTGGGAATAATACGGTATGGGAAAAAATAAAGCGGATGTGGAGATCCGAGCGAATAGGCATGGATAGAACGCTCATCCGGTGCAAGTATGCAGTGGAAACCATACAGGATGAGGAGCAACAACAAGCAGTCACATTTGCATACCACCAGGGGAAGACCAACAACCGAGGCGTGAACGAGATGTTGCAGGCATTACGGCGAAAGTATTTCTGGTGGGGTATGAAAAAATCTATCCAAGTAATCATAGGGAAATGCGAGGTATGTATGCGCACAAAATATGATCGACACCCCCCCCAGAGGAGTTCAGGAAGAGACACCTACAGGGAATATGCCGCTACAAGACCTCCAGATCGATACATTCACCTGGAAAGGATTCAAGTGGGTCACTATCATCGACACCTTTAGTAAAGTAGCTATGGCACATCAGGTCATGGACAAGTCTGCCAATGCAGTTGCGGAAGCCCTACAAATCTGGGTGCAGTTTTACGGAGTCCCCGAGAGGATCACGTCAGACGGGGGCAGAGAGTTTGACAATACCGCGATTAGGGAGGAGGTGAAACGATTAGAGGTTGTGTGGCATTATAACACCCCGGGACACCCTAAGAGTAGAGGAGGCATCGAACGATTGCACAGCACGTTGAGTGACCACATCCGTGTATATCAGGGGGAGAAAGGGTTGGAGCCGGATGTTGCGATGAAGAAAGCGGTAACAGCTTATAACCATTCGATCCACTCCGTAACGGGATTTTCACCCGTGGAAGTACTATTCGGGATGCGCAGGCCAAGGCGAGATTGGGGGGAAACAACGACCAATGAACCGTTCGTAGAGCAAATCCAGAGTAATAGGGTAGAGGTAGAAAAGACGTGGGGAAAAGTAACGGGGAAAATTAAGCGGGAAAAGGAGAAGCGGGTAGAGCGGCAGAATGTGCAGGTACGTGACCGAATGGGAGAATTAAAGATCGGAACAATAGTGTACCGTAGAGTAGGAACCAACAGAGGGAAACAATTGTTACGGTACGAGGGCCCATTCAGAGTGGTTGCTATTAGGGAGCATAATCTGCTAACCATTGAAAGCATTAACGAACCTAAGAAGAGGAGAACTGTTCATATTGAACAATTGAAGCTCCCAATGTTAGAACCGATACATAAACCAATGGATTCGTAGTACCCTCACCGCTGTGGATAAGAGACATGTTTTCTTTTCTGGTTGTTGATGATGTCATTTTTTTTTTTAAATAGAGATATAGCAATACAGTAGAGGCAATTGTAATTTTTATAGTATTAAGAGTACTGTTCCATTGTTAATAAGACGTTGTAGCAAGTGTTTTGTTTAGTTTCTGTGTTTTATTTCTTTTTATTTATTTCTCGTTCCAGCGGAGTGGAAGTGAGTTTCAGTGTATTTTAAGTTTATACTGGTACGAATAATTGTAAAGTGTTAAGGCTGATACCGGTGGCTCCGATCTAGGAATTTATAAGTTTCCGAAAATCCTATTCGTAAACTGGTGGGGGGGAGATAAAGACCGGAGACTGGCGATATCAGCCTTAATACCATCTTGTAATGTAAATAAACATAACAACTGTATATAAGGCAGATTATTGAACGAATAAAGCAGTGTTTATTCAGAAGCCGTGAGTGTTGTTTCTCGATCCTTTTCCTTCTTTTTTTTTATTTTTGAAGTCCGCCGACGCTTAACTTATATATAAATATATATTAAAATAAATGAAAATTCCTAAGACAAGCCGTAGGACTATGGTTTCTAAGACACTTCGTCATTTTTGGACGAGATGGTACGAATACCTCCACAGTCTTGTGCCTTGCAAAAATTGGTTTACTGACAGAGAAAATTTGAAAGAGGGAATCCATGTTATTTTACATGAAAGGGATGTTCCACTTCAGGTGTGGCGGCTTGTCAGGATAATAGAGACTCTTCCAGGACATGATGGTGTAGTAGGGTGGTAAGATTGAGGACTGCTACAGCCACTTTGATACAACCTGTGCAAAAGTTAGTGCCTCTCCCTTCTGTAGAAACCTCTTATTGATACGCATATTTTTTTCCTTTCTTAAATATATAATGAGGAGCTCTTTTAGTTGTTAAAATGAATTGTGATTTGTAAGCCTATCTTTGATCTGGCTCACTTTTATTTCTGTTTTTCAGTGTATTTCGAAAAATTTCTCTTTTTTTTTACTGTAAACCAAGTAATTTTCCTTTAGTATGTGCCTTGCCAAGTAATTACCAGTTTATGAGTTTAATGTTTTGTTTGTTTGTGAAATGAGATATTTCACAGTGGGGAATGTTTTGCGAATTACGTAATTTTGCACCGGAACGCTACCTAGCGGTAGGTTGCGTGTACGGAGATAACCAGCAGTTGCCTACTGGAGCATGCACACCTTCTTTTCTTGATTCGGCGTATAATTCGCATATATTTCTAGCATGTTTTCTTTTCGTTTTTCCTAAATATATATTTTTCCTTAATTTTTTCTTTTTCTCTTAGCTCTATCTTTAATGCTTCCTAATGTGATGAACTCTGACGGAGATTAAGAGTTCAGTTTAGTTTTCAGCTCAATTTTAAATTATGTTTCATGCCTCTTTCTTTCCATTTGATTCAGTATTGTTCATTCCATTTAGGCCCTGTTAAAGTTTGATTCCAGTCAGAATTTGGTCCGAATCAGGCCCGGCCTGGCTCCGATGGGGTCTATAGCTAAAGTTTGAAGTGAACTTTTCAAGAGTTGGTCCTAAGAGGACATTTAAATCCCTGAAAATCATTTTTTTTTTTTTAAGATTTAAGTTTTTATTCATTTTATAATTGTTTTGTAAATTTTAGTTTTTATTACTGTCGTTAATTTTTATATTTTATTTAGCCTAGTAAAGTCTAAGACCCGAAACCGGTAGCAAGAAAGAATAAAACATTATATACAGGAGGACGTCTTTTTATTGAATTTATTTTCTTTTTTGTTTATTATATTTGTTGGGGTTTAAGGAAATGTTCTTCCCATCATCAGAAACATATTGTTTATGGTTGCTTCAAAAAAGTTTCTGAACATTTTCATTTGTTTTTTTCCCATACATGGAAAATGCTCGTACCATTCCTGGTTGCTGGACACCCTGATTACTTAACTCAGTTTCAAGAATCAAGAATATCAAAATCTGTAGGATGCATCTTTCAAATGTTATAGACCTGAAAAATGTTTGGCACAAAGTGGATTAAAATAATTTCAATCTTTTTCTGAACTAATCAACACCAGAAATCTAATTTCCAGAAACTATATTATTGTTTTTCTGTTTTAAGTATTGTCAAGCAGAAGTAGAAAGCTAACTAGCAATGAGTCAGAGTTTTCAAAACGGAATAAAAACAACAAATATTCAACTTGTGTGTGTATGCACACATGCATTAGAGTGTACCATAGAGGATAGTAACATTTGAAAAATAAAAACTGCTTCATTATTATAAATATATTTCATTAACATGTATCAATGATGATTAATTTCATATTGAAAAAATAAAATGAAATCAATATGAAAAACATAACAAATACAACTCCTCAAACTAACAATTGTTAATGGGTGTTGATTCAACACAAATGCACAATTTTACAAAGGAATGTAAAAATAAAATAAAAATTGTTGGGTGTAATATTCTAGAATAACATCTAGAACAAGGTGAGAATAACAATTGTGCATCTGAAGAGAATCAATTGTCAATTTAATATCACTCATGGATGGCTAAAAACAGATTTAATGAAATGAAAACTCACTTGTTCCAAAATTCAAAATACAATAAAATATTTTAATTTAAATTTGAATAATTAGAATCTCATACACATAAGATTGTATATTAATCTTATTAAAAATTTCAACAAAACATTATTTTACTAATATTTGTACATAATTCAATAACTTTATCACTTTTAACTAGTTACATTAATAATTAATAATCATAAATATGAATAATTTTTTATATAATAACGAATAAAAATAAATAGAATAACATAATAGCCTTTAAGCTACCTTTTGCTAGCCATCCAGTGAGGTATCACATAATACATAAACATTACTTTTATAATTATACATAAATGTATTAATTGTATTTATATCTTTAAATATAAACCTATTTTTGTTTTGTTTTTAAATTACACCTCATCAAGTTATGAGTAAATTATATGGAGGTGAAAGATATTTCACAGCTTCAGAACAATAATGTAGTCTATAATATATTTTGAAAAAGTTAATCTTATCAGATCATCAAAAAGGTCTTCCATTCATGTATAATGTTCTAAATCCTCCATTCAAACTGCAAACTTTAGGAAAGCCGCTCTTGAGAAGAAAACTGCAAAACTGCATCAAATAAAAAATATTAATAAGTTCTTAAGGTTATGTTGTTTATATATTTGCGAAATATAAAATAAAAATACTTGTCTAGTTAAAAAGCTATTTGGGTCCTTTGATGTTTTAAAACAATTAACTAACTTCAATTGCATATCTAAGAAAAATTAAATTATTAACAGATGGTAGGGAATAGACTGGTCAGCTACTCACCACTTCATTCGATTTTCCATTTTTATTTAATGTCTTCCAACTACTGCTAAAAAATCAGCCTAGCTTTAACTAAAGGGAGAGTCACATGCCCTAAGTGTTATGAACTTTCGCGCTTCACGTAGTTCAAGGCATCGTGTGAACGTGTTGGAAATGGCGAGTTGCGAATGTCAAGTGACAAATGAATAGCTCTGGTAACATGATGCCCTGAACGCTCAGGGCAGGTAGTTCACCTCATGGCCCAATAACAAACATTTGTGCTCACAGCATGTCCCACCAGGTATGGGACATTTGAGGACATCAAAGGAATTCTAGGAAGCAATATCCACCGAGTATAGTTATGTTTTCCATGGCTGTACTATGAAAAGCTATAATGGGCATAATAATTTTTGATCACTTTTAAATTAATTAATTTCATTTATCTTTCTTATGGTGTAGAATAATTAATAAAGTCAACTGATTTTTTAAATTTTATCGAAGTATTATAATTAATATTGTTTAATTTTGAATAATGCTAAAGTTCATTTAATAAAATTTGATTAAACAATTACAGGATTTTATTTAACTTCACAAGTAAATTAGACAACGCTTAAATAAGGATATAATTAGGTTTGATGTACTAATTAGAAATAAACATAAACAGAAATAAAATTATGCACAAAGAATAATTTAAAAAATAAAAAATTATTGGAACTGATTAAGAACAATAACGCATGATTACAAGCACAGTAGGAAGATTATCTGTTGAACTAAGCGGATGCTATTTAAAAAAAAAATACTAGACCAAAAATCAACAATATAACCACTTGGTGAATAGAACATTTATATATATTAATGTAAAAAAAAAAACAATACATAGAATTATTAAATTTACAATCTTAAAATATTTATAATACAATTAAATTTACAACTAAATCACCAGCAGACAAGATTATAAGATATTTGGAGACGAACACCAGTTTTGACTATTTTGATTTTAAATACTTAAAATATCAAATAATAAATACATTTGATTGTCTTGATTGGTAATGGTTTTAAAGAATTAAACGATAAATGGCAAATATTAAAATTAAATTTAACATAAAATAATAAATCAAAATGTTACATCATAAATTTTTAATTAACATCAACGTTTGTTTGTTAACATAATAAATTAGAATATATTTCTAGAACAACAAACAAAATAAAAATTAATGTTGACCAAACCTAATAACCCGCGTTTCCACCATATTTTTCTTAATTTCTTATTAGGTCAGTCAGATTCTCCCTTTTTCTCCCTCAAAATGAAAAATTAAAAATCGCTTCCGCCCAAATATATAAAAAATAATGCATAATATTATATGTAACTAAGTACGTGTTTTATGTCAGTATTACTTATATTATTAAAAAATAGATTAAACTTTGCTCATAATTGGCTTTGATTGTTAAAATTGTTTCCCTTTTTTCCTCTCCTAACATTGGAATTTCTCTAAAAAGGGAACTTTTTAGATACAAACAAAGTAAAAATTAACGTTGACCAAACCTAATAACCAGCGTTTCCACCATAATTTTTTTAATTTCTTATTAGGTCAGTCAGATTCTCCCTTTTTCACAAATATATATATATAAGCCAATTATGAGCAAAGTTTAATCTATTTTTTAATAATATAAGTAAAACTGACATAAAACACGTACTTAGTTACATATAATATTATGCATTATTTTTTATATATTTGGGCGGAAGCGATTTTTAATTTTTCATTTTGAGGGAGAAAAAGGGAGAATCTGACTGACCTAATAAGAAATTAAGAAAAATATGGTGGAAACGCGGGTTATTAGGTTTGGTCAACATTAATTTTTATTTTGTTTGTTGTTCTAGAAATATATTCTAATTTATTATGTTAACAAACAAACGTTGATGTTAATTAAAAATTTATGATGTAACATTTTGATTTATTATTTTATGTTAAATTTAATTTTAATATTTGCCATTTATCGTTTAATTCTTTAAAACCATTACCAATCAAGACAATCAAATGTATTTATTATTTGATATTTTAAGTATTTAAAATCAAAATAGTCAAAACTGGTGTTCGTCTCCAAATATCTTATAATCTTGTCTGCTGGTGATTTAGTGGTAAATTTAATTGTATTATAAATATTTTAAGATTGTAAATTTAATAATTCTATGTATTGTTTTTTTTTTTTACATTAATATATATAAATGTTCTATTCACCAAGTGGTTATATTGTTGATTTTTGGTCTAGTATTTTTTTTTTTTTAAATAGCATCTGCTTAGTTCAACAGATAATCTTCCTACTGTGCTTGTAATCATGCGTTATTGTTCTTAATCAGTTCCAATAATTTTTTATTTTTTAAATTATTCTTTTTGTTAACGTCGCATACTCATATCTTTATTTTTTTTAGTATTATTTCCTCTCACCACTCACCCCTTTTTTAAGTGTTTAATAATAAAAGGTTTATTTATTTCTTTTGTAAAAGTTTGAGGGACAATTGTTCCTAAAATGTATTTAAGTTTATATTATTTATATATTTAGGCTTATTTTGCGATGTGTTATCGCGTTTGTGTATACGCTCCAGCCCGGCAGTAATACCCTGTCTTAGGGATTAAGACACAAATACTGCGATAATACTGTTGGGTTCTCAGTCTGGAGCTGGCCTTTGACGATACTGGATCCACGTAGTGGACGGCTACCCCCACCATCCGCTCCAGGTTCACCACCTCGACTCACCAGCCTAGTGCCATTTTCGAGGATCAGCTGTTGGGCGCAGCTGAGTAATCGATACATATCGATACCACCCCACCATCGATTACTCGACAGTTGGACATCGAAAGGTAACCAGGTGGAACCTCCAACCTGGCTCATATTTTGGTTTTATGTTCTCACCATCACAAAGACATTAGAACATTAATTAATTTTTGTTTCACCTATAAATTAGGCTTATTCTTTTGGACAGTTATTTTTTTTTCTCTAGTTTTAACTATAATTTTAGAAGTTGGATTTATTTATATATGTTTTTCCTAATGTTAATTTGTTTTATTTTCTCTGCATATTATAATTATGTTTTATTTTCTCGCAACTTTGCACCAATATTTATTTTAACTTTTTTACTTAATTAGATCTTTTTTTATCTCAATAAATATTGTAAGCATTTAGAAGGGGATTTTTCATATTCCATTTTTGATTTATTGAATATTTTTATTTTATATTATTTTCTTTTGCATGCATTTGTTTTTTTCTCTAATGTTTTACAGGTCTCATTTTTTACTCTTTTTATTTTTTCCTTCTTTCCAAAAATTTAATTTTTCTCGAATTTTCTCACCTTTTAGGAACCTCACCGGGGAAAGACTTGTACTTCGAATTTGAAGTACCCCTGGCCCCAACATGTTTTGGTCATCCGGCCCGGAGGACCAAAAGATGTTGGGGCCGGGGGTATTTCAAAATTAAAACACAAACCCTTCCCCGGTGAGGTTCCTCAATGGTGGGGAAAATTCGATTGAAAATTAAAAACGGGAAAGAGGGAAAAAAAGGAGTAAATAAAATGAGACCTGTAAAACATAAAAAATGTGCATGCACAAGAAAATATTTAAAAAATATTCAATTAATTAAAAACGTTGAGATAAACAAATAAAAAAATGCCCCTTCTAAATGCTTACAAATTTATTGAGATAAAAAATATATACAATAGTTAAAAAACAAATGAAGAGTGCCATGAATTTCACTGAAATGAATAAAACATAAAATATAACTCAGTGAACATAAACCCAAATTAACATTTATTAATAAAGAAAAAAAGTGAACATAAACCAGTGAACACATAAAAACATAAACTCAGTGCACATAAACCCACATTAACAATTATTAATAAAGAAAAAAAGAAATCAATTTCTGAAATTAAAAATAATACGGGAGAGAAAAATGATGGTCCACAAGAATAAACTAATTTAGCGAAGAACACAGTTAATTAATATTTAAATGTCTTGGTGAGAATAGAAAACACAAGCCAAGTTGGAGGTTCTGCTTCCAACCTGTTACCTTTTGATATCCAGCTGTCAAGCAATCAATGGTGGGGTGGTATCGATCTCGATCGATTACTCAGCTGCGCCCAACAGCTGATCTCAAAAAATGGCGCTAGGCTGGTGAGTCGAGGTGGTGAACCTGGAGCGGAAGATGGGGGTAGCCGTCCACTACGTGGACCCAGTATCGTCAAAGGCCAGCTCCAGACTGAGGACCCAGTATTATCGCAGTATTTGTGTCTTTATCCCTAAGACAGGGTATTACTGCCGGGCTGGAGCGTATACACAAACACGATAACACATCGCAAAATAAGCCTAAATATATAAATAATATAAACTTAAATACATTTTAGGGACAATTGTCCCTCAAACTTTTACAAAAGAAATAAATAAACCTTTTATTATTAACACTTAAAAAGGGGTGAGTGGTGAGAGAAAATAATACTAAAAAAAAATAAAGATATGAGTATACGGCGTTAACACTTTGTGTATAATTTTATTTCTGTTTATGTTTATTTCTAATCAGTACATCAAACCTAATTATATCCTTTTTTAAGTGTTGTCTAATTTACTTGTGAAGTTAAATAAAATCCTGTAATTGTTTAACCAATTTTACTAAATGAACTTTAGCATTATTCAAAATTAAACAGTGTTAATTATAATACTTCAATAAAATTTATTAATTTATTATAATGATATAATTATTATGAATTATTATAATGATATAATTCCTTATGACAGAGCCCAACTTACAAGTCCTTAGTACAAAATAAAGAAAGTAAAAAAAAAGTTATATAATTGTTTCAAGCAATTCAATTATTTCAATAATATGGGCTCATTAATACAACCAAAATAATTTTTAAAAAGTTCCTAATTATATTATGAATGAATACTCAATGATGTGGAAGAAAACTGAAAGTACTTACAGTAGTACCACTTTTCCACCAAATAAGTGTGTTTTCTAAGGAATTTAAAATATTTTAAAACATAATCAGTAATTTATAAAGAAGAATGACTTATCTAGGTCTTTAATTTTGAGATTTTTTTTGTTGTTGGACATTTAATCACATACTGCACTTGATTTCCATTTTTCGTATGAATGACATAACAAATCGAATTTTCTGAAATCTTAATTTACTGCCTAAAACATTAATTCATTAATATTTTTCATGTATTATGGTTTTCTGACTATTCTGCTGTAATAAAATGCTAATCATGGCGAAATTAAGCCAAACACTGAATGTCAGTGACCAAAAAAGTAACAAATCAAATTTGTTAGTCTGTCATGTTTGGGACAGTATGGCCACTTAGTTGTCTGGGTAGATTGGCTTTTTTTTAATTATTAGTTGCAAGGTACATGATATCCAATTTATTGGGATGTGGAAGAGGAATACACACAACGGGTGCCTGGCAAAGAAACTAAGAAAGTTAATGAAAAGATAATGCAAAACGTGTAAAATATAACAGACTAAAGTGTCTTACCTCAGAAGTTTTTTTATCATTGTCTCCAATCACAGTAATTATCTTTCCCTTGTTGTTATATAAAACAGAGAGTTCTGATTTATGCATTAAAGAGTTATCTATATGTTTTTCCAGCTTTAGATCCACAGTGTGAATATTTAGACTCCCAGGTATATTTGATTCATTATATCTAATAATTAAATGTTAATACAAAATATATGATAACAATTTTATTTATTAATTCAAACATAAATAATACGAAAACTCTCAACATTTGGAGAAAAAAAACTTTTTAATAATATGGCTGAACAATGAATTATCATAAATCTAACTCTATCATGAAATGATAAATAATCAATCTGAAACATTAACTAATAAAAAAAGAATAAAGTATAAATTTAAACAAAATATTTAATTAAACTATGATTGATACATCCAAAACGCAATGTTTTGATGTTACATTTAAGGATACAGAGTTGGATGTCGAATGTCAACAATCAAAAGTTTTGTTTTCAGTATTGGGTTTTGAACCATGACTTTTAATTCTGCATTACTTATTCTAGGACAGCACTCATTAGTAATAATATCAATAGTCACAGCCGGTGGATCCTGAAACAAAGTTAGAAAAATATTTAAATTTTTAACTTATAATAGTGAATTGATGGTTGACTGAAATGAATAATTGAAGAGAAGTTGGTTAGGTTGTTTAGAAAAAAAAAAAAAAAATTGAAAATGAATAAATATTTATTCTTATATTTGCCGACATTTTGATCCAAAGTTCAGGCCTTCATCAAGGCTAAGAAAAAACAGATAACAATAAGTATGAGAAACTATTAACTTATGAAAAAAAAATAAAAATAATATTAATAATAATAATGTTAGAAGCATATGAAAAAAAAAAAATTAATGAGAGTAACAGAGAGGAACTTATAAAATAACAAAAATAATAAACAAAATTGTAAATTAATTAACAAATTTTAATTTAAAATTAATCAGTGCTAATGTTGAGTAAATAAGACAATGAACAGAACGAATAATTGATGTATAAATATGAAAAAGGATGAGGTGCCTTCAATCATAAAAACTCAAGAACCAATATAGCTCTTCCTCATAGATTATATATTCAAAAAAATAATTATTGTTACTGTGATGCCAAATTTATTTGAATGCTTTCCAATCATTATACTTTCAGGAACGTGTAGTCAGCTGATCATAGCAATGTTTAATAGAAAAACATAAAGTTCCTTAGATTGATTATGACAAAATATCCATGTATAAAAAATAGCCTAGCCTAGATATCAATGGCTAGATGCTGTATAAGAATGCCTACTAAAATTAAATTAACGTTAAGCATTCCAAGGATGGCGGATGTGGGGATGGTCTATGCAAATTCCTTGGAAGTTCCTCCCGGCTAAATCTGATGGAGTCTCTGACCAATAATGAGAGGGACCCTCCAAACTCACATATCTTAAGTTTACCATACACTACAAATAGTCATGGATCACCATAAGATAAAACGCTCATTAACCAGAGGTAAACTAGTTCTCCATTAGGTCTCTGGGAGGGGACTGCTTTAGGGGATTCATGGTGTAAGTTGAAAAATAAGGATTTAAGTATTGGTACGAGGAACGTAAGCAGTTTGAATTCAGAAGGTGGGTTAAAATCGGTCACGAATGAGGTTAATGAATACAATTTCGATATTGTGGCTCTGCAAGAGGTTCGCTGGCTAGGGAACCTAAAGGAACCTTCGAAAAGGGAAGGAAAGTACACTATTTGGTATGGAGGAAGCGGGAATCATTGTTTAGGGATGGGGTTTCTAATTTGGAATAGATTGCTATCCGCTTTGAGGGATGTGCAATTCTTTAGTGATAGAATTTTGGTAGACATATTTCAGAGACGTTGTTTTAAAATCGTGTTAATAAACATACATTGTCTAACTGAAGACCGTGACGATAAAGTGAAGTGCGAATTTTATGATAAATTCGAAAGGGTTTATGATAAACTACTGCAAAACTCCATAAAAATAATTTTAGGTGACGCAAACACAAAGGTGAGGAGGAAAGAAGTTTATTTTCCGACGAGTAGTAAAGAAAGATTGCAAGGATATAGTAATGATAATGGATTCCGTCTGTTAAACTTTGCCATCTTGAAACACCTGATAATTAAAATTAATATGTTTAAACATAAGGATATCCATAAATATACCTGAACATCACCGGATTCACAAACACAAAATCAAATCGATTATGTCTTGATACAACATAGCTGGCAAAGCAGTATAATTAATGTACGGTCTTATCACGGATGAGCAACTTCTTAATAAAGTATTGAAAATAAAGTATTGCGTAGAATATTCGGACTGAAGAAGGATGAGTTAACCAGGGAGTTTAGACGGTTACACAACACCGAATTGCGTGAACTGTATCCGGTTAATATAATTGAAATGATTTCATCGAAGTGAATCAAATGGGCTTGTAAGATTGTTGGGCTTAGTAATGAAAGAATTTATAAAAGGTTAATATTTGCTGTACTGAATGGTAAAAGTCCGAGGGGTAGACCAAAGCAATTTGGGAAGATTTCGTTAAAGCCTGCGTTAAAGGGACTGGATTTCAACAACGAACAGTTAGGGAGGTATGTAATAAGCAATTGGTGGTGTCGGCATAGAACCTTCGGGTTCGCTAAGCCTTTTATTATCATTTTGGTATCTTTATTTTTCTCGCTTTTGCAGATTCAAAGCTGAAGGTGGGGGACAAGTCCAACCACCTGCAGTTATACATTATTATTATTTTATATATATATATTTTTTTTTTTTCTGTTGGCGCTACAGACCTTATACATCTTTGACCGCGAGATGTGGTCTTCTAGGCCACTTCCCGATTCCTGATTTAAGTACACAGGGTAGGGTCATCAGTCCTACGCCCTGTCGGTGTGAGTTGTCTCCAGTAGGTTGACAGGCCTCACAAACCTGGTGGACCGGTCACCCATCCAAGTACTAACCATGCTCGGCATTGCTTAACTTGGTTACCTATTACAAGCGCAATATAATATATATATATATATATATATATATATAAAAATATATGTGAACTTCAATGCATGAGGTACCCATGAAAATAAAGATAGTCTTCTTATTGTGGACAAAACAGGAAGTCATCAATGTTTTTTAATAAACAAATGGTAATCCTAATAGTTTTACACAAAAACTATTGTGAAATATACTATAATAACTCATGTGAAATATGCTATCAAAAATAAAGTAGTTAACTAAAACAAATAAAGTCATTTATTTTTTATATTATTGAAATGAAGATTAGATAGGCGTTGATGACCTCGGGGTTTTACACCTAAGCCCTGAATAACAATAACAATAAATAAAGTCACAAGGTAAGTTATAGTCAATAAGCCCACTCGTCACCCATCCACCTTTACTAGCAGTAATAAGATATAGTCAATATTTTGTTAAGGCAGAGCCTTGAAAATAATTTATCAACTAGAAGGAACTAGGAAGGCAAGATTTTTATACATGACTTGATTAAACTTGTGATAAACAAATATTAATTTGATTAATAAAGATTAAAATAAATAGAAAAATATATATTAGAACAAAGAAGATACTTTATAACATAAACAAATATCAATAAAAAAGAATAATTTAACAATGAAGCAATGAATGGCATAAAACTAACAAGCAAGACAGAATAAAAGATTTTACACTAACAACAATAAACATAAATCAATGAAAGAAATATATGATCAGATTAATTAATCCAATGAATGTTCTGATAATTAACTGATGACTGAGATGTTCTCCATAATTGATGAAACTTAAAGGTTTATTAGTAAGACTACCTTACCTAGGATAACCTACATAGGGTCTACTTTCCAGAAAGGTAGAGTAGGACAATATATTTTTATAAATAATTCTTCGGCAAATGTCAAAATAAACATTATTATTTATTTTTGCCTTCTTATTTCTGACTGATCACCCCAACCATTCTACTCTACATTATTCTTATAAATATATAAAATTAAAAAAACCTATGCTCACATTGAGGTGAATGGGGTAGATGGTTAAGAAATACTATGACTAAACAATTAATGAAAACAATCATATAATATACAGCCTCAAACATTTTATAAGGATGGAGATATTGTTGACCTAACATGTAATTCAAGACATTGATTGCGGAGAAGGAGAGGGACAGCCAAAGAATACAATAAAACAAACATAAGTATAAAACCTATTTTAGATGTGTGCTGACATTTTGCTCAAGGAGTAGGTCTTCATTGGGATTACGAATCCAGAGTTCTACTGCACTATAAAATTGTAATACATGAATATTGAAATTTAGTACTTTCTCTAGAAATCTGGACTCTTCGCTCTGATGATCTACAATTTGACCGAAATGTCAGAATATATTATAAATAAGTTTTAAACTTATTTCTTTATTTTCTTTTTTATCGCACACACCAAAAAACATCTTGAACTAAAAAAATTAAATAGAATAGTATTTGACTTCAAATTCTTCATAATAATTATGAGTTTTCATGATATATTTTCAAAAATATATATTTTTTAAAACGTACCAGTCCATCAAAAAGTGCCTTTTCATTTTTATCTACTACTTCATTTTGCCTGTATGTAACACTTCTGGGTGTGGACTCATAAAATAACATTGAATCTTTAACACATTTTTCTATATCTATTTCTGAAACAAAAGCAAAAGAAGAAAACATTTCAACCATCTCATTTTTTTTTTTAATAGCTGATCATGGCTTAATAAAAGTATATAATGGATATGCAAACAACTGCTAAAAACAAAAGATTGGTTTAAAGCTGAATAAACTAGCTGGTTTAAAGCTTAAATGTACCACCACTTTCCGTGAACCATCTAAATTAGTAGAATTTAGATACTAATTTTCTTCTGAATGAAAAGCCTGATTTTTAATGTGTAAAGGATTTTTACAGATACACTCAACTTCCTAGAGTTTATAAAATGGATTTTGATGTTCATAATAAAGAGTAAAAATTGATGTGGTAAACGAAGTAGTGAAATTTAAACATTTAAAAAATTTAAACCCTTGAAAATAATACAAACACAATGGATTTGTCCCTTGGCTTGTTGTTAATTGAAAATAATGCTAATTTAAATATATATGGCACCTACGATATCTGCTAGGTTAAATTAGTTTAAAATTAAGAAGATATTTTTTGTTTAACCCCAACCTGCTATTTTTGGCATAAGGAGGAGGGAGGGAGTTGTTCTAGAGGTATAACTAAATCTATTCTAAACAGAATAGAAAGGTTGAGATTCATTCTTTGGATCCATCACGATATGAATTTCTACCTTCCCAGACTAGAATTGAAAATGCTAAAGGAGAAAGCATTTTAACATGTCCTTAGCCTCAGAATACAAAGATCTGTGCAATAGATATGGGTTGTACATCAATGGAAAAAAAGTGCTTTCCAAGAGGAAAATCATTTTCCAAATATGTTCTTGCACCTACAATTGCTATTATGATTTTATCATAATATTAAGCATAATTGTTTTAATAACAAAAGAAACAAATTTTGTATATATCTGAGCTCTGTGACAAGGATCTGATTGAGGGTTTGTTTAGCAGAAACAGCCAACAGCTATGATTTATGTAAAGCTATAACAAAGCATGAATATGTTTCTGCATTATTAAAGAACTTTGTAATTATCATAAGAGATGATGTAAATATTTATTTTAAATGTGTCTTATTTCTTACTGCATAGCCAACCATCATCTCCTCAATTTCATCAATGATCAGTAAAATAACCCCATTTTAATTATTATAGATTAAGGTGGATTAGAACTGTCAAATTTTGCTTGTTCAACAAATACAAACTCTCAAAGGTATCCTTATATAAGTGGAAATCCAGCTTATAATAGTTTACATGTATATACAGGGTTGCTACCAAATAGTTAGAGTAAAATTTCCAGACTTTGCCCTATTTAATGAAAGTTTTCCCTGACCAATATGTAAAGGGTTACAAAATGTATAGTTTATAACCAACTATACATATATAGTTTATAACTAATTCATTTATGTTACATGATTGAAAATTGAAAGATTAGAGTAAAAAAAAAGTCTGTTCAGTCTTTTAAATAACAATTATAATGTTCTAGAGGAGGCCTTCTTCAAACTTGATGAGGATTTTTTATTTATTTTAATTTTAGAAAACTAAACTTTAAGTAATTTATTTTTATCACCTTTATATTATTTTCATTAAGTGAGAGGATGTAAAAGTTGATACTTGAAAATTGTATGTATTATAAAATAAAGTGAGCTAGGGGGGATTCTTATTTTAATATAGTTCCACATAAGCAATTTAGTTGTTTTATTGCCTCAAACAGTAGTAATTAACCATACGATATCAACTGTGAGGCGGAATATCCCAGTAGTTCAGTATGAATGATTATAGAAGAAAATGACAGGGACACAATTTTTTATGTTAGGACATTGTTTGGACTAGTAAGCAGGTAAACATACTATAAGTTCCTAATCCTAGGTGGTGAGCCAGATGTGGGAGGTGGGGTGCCTAGAAGGTCACTTTTTTCAGATGTTTGCTTATATCAGGAAAACTATCCATCGCATCGACAAAGACGTTCTATTCAAATTTAAAGCTGATGAAATTTTCAATATGATTGATTATATACATTTTTTCGCTACATCGCTTAGTTTTCAAGGTATCCTTCCTCAACTATTGGTAATGTGAAAAAAAATGTTTACCTCATGTTTTTTACTGTATTTGACTAGCTAACTCTTGATTGATTCATTCTATGATTAAGTCATGGGAAAATATGTTTTTAACAATTAATTTTCTTCAATAATATATATAATTTCACTAGTTTATCTTCAACAGTTCAAAAGTTGGATCAATTATGAGATTATGTCAATTCCGAGAATTTGCAGACATTTTATTCTATATTGCTTATTATATGTATGTATATGTATATATACATAGAGATTAACAATAGAAATAACAATCATCAAAAAATTAAGGACCAAAATGTGTTCCAAAGTCCGAGCGGTATAATGATATTTCATCTACTCGCATATCACAACTCTACATAAGCTTGAATTAAATTGAAAGTGCATCAACATTTTTATTTAGCTCAGTTAAAGTTAAAGTTAAATCAGCCAAATAAAAAGGATTGAAAAGATAAAAAGCATGTAAGTTGATCGCGGTAGATACTATAAGGGAAAAACATTTCGTTTGGGAACATCAAATTCAGATTCAGCATCTGAACATAAAACATAAAAACCTAATAGAAAACATCATATCAAAATTTCAGCCATCAGTTCTTCTTTAAATGAACCATCAAATTTCACCTGTTTGATTTAAATTTTCGTATAGAAAGCAACGACTTTTGACTGACTGACCGAAGTTCTGTTCAGATGAGATTTATCTAGAATTTATAACGGTTACTAGCTATAAGCCTTTCCATTAAATGAAATGGTTGGTAGCCCCTCGTCTATATCAGCGTAAAGTCAAATTTTACTCGAAAAGACTAACGAATATTTAAAATCAATTCTCAAACATCTAGATGAATCTTAAACTAGTATTTCACGAGGATGGATGCAAAGATTCAACATCCAACATAATATTGTTTTTAAAAAAATTAGCTGTATAGCAGCCAGCATTCTCCTTCAGTTAAATAATGAATGGTTTTTGAACCTAAGTCACCAGTTCGTGAGAATTATCATGATGCTGACATATTCAACGCGGTGAAACACAATTTTTTTATAAAAACAAAGTTTACCAGGTCCCTTAAGGTCTTTATAAATGACATCAACTGTATATTAATTCCAATTTGAAAAAATAGATATGAACTAAAAAAATTCACTGACTTTTCCCATTTTCTAGGTTGGTCGCCACCCTGTATATAACTAACATACATAGGTTATATAATTAATTATGTAATAAACATAGGGGAGGAAAATATTCTAGAGCAGGGATCCCCAACCTTTTTTCACCTGTGGACACAATTATAGGTTATGTGTTATGTGGTGGGCACCATGTTTTTATTCAATATGAATTACTGCTAAGTTACTATTTATAATATTTAAAAATATGTATGTACAGTAATAAACTTATATAATTTCTATTATAACAGACATGTTTAATATTTCTATGAAAAGGCGAAAACATAAAGTGGAATTTAATCAATCAGGTGTAGTTTACTTATATCAGATTCACAGTTTTGAAATTGGAATTAGAAATCATTATGAATTAAATTAGTTTTATTATATTAGATTCACAGATTTTGAAATTGGAATTACAAATCATTATAGGTTATAATCAGGTAAAAAATAAGCTGAATGCTGAGTTACCAACAGTTTCATTTAATTTTTTTTTGTTACAAAAGGAAAAGATTAAATAAAACAATAATGATGATATTCTATTGATAAATGAATTATTATTTTCAAATAACTGACTTATACTTTTGAATTATATATAATATTGTTAGATGTCTATATATATATAAAATTGTAAAACATTTGAATTTAAATTTTGTGTACCAGCAGCTAGCCACATAAAACAATAATGATGATTCGAAAAAAACAACACAAAATGATATGATATAAGTAAATTAATATTTTCAAAGTAAATGCTTATATTTAAAATTATTTATAAGATGTTTATTATAATATATATACAATATTTTATTGAAAATTTGACGATCTGTAGCAGGCAAAAGTAAAACTGTTGCCAGGGTGATCGCTAATAAAGGTTATGCTAGACATAGGTGAGAACACTTTTGCCCGTGTGCATGAATGTTACTGTGCCCACCACGGGCAACCACTGTGCCAGTGAGCTCTAGGTTGGGAACCCCTGTTCTAGGATTCTTATTATGGATCGTTACATAAAATATTAAATTTACAGAAATTATCTTACCAGGCAAGTCCGAAAAAAGGAGAATACATTCATTAAACCCAGACTCCAATAGTACTGAGCGAAGTTGTTGTAAAACAGAATATCCAATAAACAATGGATACGATGCACTACCAAGTAATAATGAATCCCATAAATTCAAAATTTTCTGGATAGGAAACACATCTGTAAAAAAATTAAAAAACACATAATATCTATTATTGTGAATCTTAAAACCAGTCCCTAAATAATCAATCATCTTGTGGATTACACAATCAATACAAATTAAGATTCATTAGATTTTTGTTAACAGTCACTGTAGAAGTTAAATGCAAATAAAATTAACATATAAATAAAAAGAAAGAACTAGGACCACAATTAAAATAATATATATTATTTTAATGTAGTTTAGGTATATATATATATATAAGCAATAAAAATACTCACGTGAAAACATAGTTAAGAACCAAGGTATGGCAAATAATTCTGGTGAGAATCCAATCTTTAACAGATGAGTAGCTAAAAGAGGATCCAGAAAAGCTATTAAATGTTTGAATTTGGCTAAATATTCTTTTATTACTGCGGAGTTGTCCCTCAAAAAGAAATTATGCAAGTATTTATCAATAAATTTTTTCAGACAGGAGTATGCTCTGGCTAAAATAACAGAAAAAAAAAACAGTATTAGAACAATATAAAAAGAAAACAGAGAAGAATAGGAAAGAAAAAGATAATTATCAATGAACATCGGATCAAAAAGTAACAAAATGTAATATGTGTAATTTAAATGAAAAAAAAGCTAAATAACTATAATATTAATAAGTGAAACAATTAGGCTTGAACATAGCTTTCTGTGTAAACCCTTAGGTAATGTTTGTAGTAACTCTCTGTTGGAAATTTTTTACACATCACAGTATAACCAGAAGCTTCCAGATACTGATACTCTTTATTAATTATAATATTTACTTTATTATTAACTAAACCACATACACAGTTTTAGAGGGGACAACTGTGACCCAGAACATTTTCTAGTAAGGATTAAATATACAAAGAAGATATAGTATTAAATAACGACTAGAAGTTAAATCTTGAAAAGCTGAAAGAACCGGGAGTTGTTCAACTTTTTGAAGAGGCAGTGTCAAAAGAATTTTGTAACTACATCTCAGAAGATTTTGCAATTAACATGAAGTGGAAGAAAATTAAGAAGCCACTTGTGCTAATTAAGTGTAGCGAAAAACGTTATCATACCTAGGTGATGCAGAAGTAGAATTTGTTGATTTAATAAAAAATGTTAGAATGCTCTACGAGAACAAAAGAAGTGAGATTGAAGATGTTCAATAAAGTATAAGAACAACTATGGAGGAAAAATAAGCAAGGGGGTTGTGTCAAAAGGTCCTCCAAATAATATATGGGCCATTAAATGAATTGTGACAACAGTGATCTATAAAAAAATCAAGAGTTAATGGAGATGTGCGGTGAACCAGATATTGTGCTATCCATCAATCCTATATCAAGAATATAGATAGGTTGGTCATGTAGAAAGAGTACCAGGGGATTGCCTACCTACCCAGATGGCTTCTATACCAATAGCCAGAAGGAAGGTAAATGAAAGAAAGACCACATGTAAGATGGCTTGATGACATGAAGGCAAACCTGCACCAGATAGGAGTAAGGAGATGGTTAAGATATGAAGCTGACAGGAAAAGATTAGATGATGATAAAGACAGAGGCTATAGACCCAATGTTTTATAGATAAATTTTAAATTATTTTTTCAACTTAGTCCCCAAAATTTAAAATGAAGTGAAATTGTGAAACAAAAAGTTTGATTGATTACCATACTTCTAGCTTAGATGGGCTAAGAATACTGATGAGGGAGTAATGACCAATGCTGAGGGACATTTCTATATTTAATACAAGTTTGATTCTGATAAGTCGACTACACAGCTAACTAATGAACAAGATTTGCAAACAGCTCTTTAAAAATTCATAATTCTAAAATATAATTTCATTTAAATGATAATATAATTCACAACAAACTGGATTTATTACTCATTCATGAAGCAATAAAAATTATTATTCCAATAAGTTTAATAAACTTATGGAAAACATCCATAGAAATGATAAAGACTATAGATTCATAAAGACTATAGACTATAGATTCATTTCTAATATATATTGTAAATATTTTAACTGACTCCAATATATCCAAATATATCAAGATAGAATTAATAGCGTTTAAAGCAAATAGACAAATAAATGCCACTTATACTAATCCATACACCGATGAGAATAATAAAAATATTGCGACCACCATCATTTCAAATAATATTAATTCGAAATGGCTTATAGACGATCACTGCAGCAAAATATTGAATAAATATAAAATGTTGTTTAAGGAAAATTGAGTTATTAATTTATCTATCTACAAAATTCCACACAACATTATCAACTTTTTCAGTCTCGGAGAATCTTTTAATTTTTTTCCATCTAATCATAGCAATAACATTATTGAACTAATTGCTGATTTAGAAAGTATTTCAGATTACATTGATACATCATATAATCACAAAAATGCTCTTAGAAATAATATAAATAAATGCGTACTTAATTTTATTAATGAGGAAAAAAATAATAATAAAGGAAATAACATAGATTCATGCTATCTTACTCCATTTAAAAATATGACAAAATCAGATTGTAAAAGTACAAAAATGTTGCTCAATAATAATCCAGAATTATATTTATTTATAACAGAAGACAAAAAAAATTAGCATTTATTCTCAAAGAGCAGTATAATAAGAAGATGCTAGATCTATTAAATGATAAGTACGTGCATAAAACCGTTAGGCATGACCCCGGAAAAGATTTAAATAAAATGGTCAGATTATGTTAATAAATTAGAAAAGTTCAAATTTATAAATAAAAAACTAAACTTAAACTAATAAACAATTACCAACAAACACCAAAAATTCACGGTCTGATAAAAACACATAAAAAAGACAAACCTTTTGACCAATAGTAGACGGTACTAACGGCTCAACATACATGTTGTCAAAATTCCTGAATTCAAGCCTGAACCAGTTTTGTAGTAATAATCCTTTTGATGTTAAAAACGCAATAGATTTAAAAAAACAAAATAAATTCCCTAAATTATATAATGGATGGATATTCCATGTTCAGTTAGGATGTAAAATCACTTTTTACAAACACACCATTAAAAATGGTCTACAAACTAATATCTGATAATTGGGATAAGATCGAACCACAAACCCCAATAAAAAGTAGGATGATGTTTCTTAAAGGAATCAGACTTTGAACTGAAAATGAATATTTTCCTTTTCAAAAACAGACCTACAAGCAAATTCGTTATCTGTAAATTTATCAGGTATAATCCTGAATTATATTCTCCAAAAAACATTAAAACAAACTAATATAAAGCTCTTATTAATCGTAAAATATATCGACAACCTATTAGTCATCCTTAAACATGAAGAGCATTCTATATTGATCGATAACCTTAATTCAATCCATCCAAAAATAGAATTTGCATACGAAATAGAAAATAACAATAGTATAAATAATCTGGATATCACCATAGTTAAAAAGGAACAAAAATTATATTCTAAATGGTATAGAAAATCAATGACATAAGAAAATATCCTCAATTTTTATTTTAATCACCCTAGAACGCAAATCATTAATCTCAGGTAACAATTTGGTTAATAAATTAAAATTACAGACAATATATATATTTATATATATATAAATACATGAAAGAAATTAAGCAAAAAATATTTAATATACTAAAAAATAGTTTCTATCCACATAAATTAATAACAAAATTATGGTATAAGGCAGTAAATAAACAAAAGGAATTACCAATAGCAACTGAAAATAACACGATTCACAATAGCCTTACAGAAAATATAGATGGTAATGAACCTACTATCAACTAAAATATGTATCGGCCCCCAACCCAAACCAATCTAAAACAATTCTTCAACACCAGCTCACTAAGAAATACAAAAGACACTGAACCAAACCAAAATTCAGAAAATAGTAATATACTTGAACCGATTTCCATAAAAAATACAAATTGACATACAAAAACCTTTAAAAAATTAGACATAGATGATTTCAAATTCACCCTCAAACCCAGACAACCTATACAAAACTTACTGACAAAGACAAAGGACCCTACACTTATCTAAAACAATAAAAATTTAATTTATGATATCCCCTATAAGAATTGCGACAAATCATATATATGAATGACATTGACCGATATAAAAACCAGAATATATAACCACAAAAGTACCCTTAAACCTAATTAAAAAACAGTCACTGCTTTATCAAACCATGCAAAAAACCATAGACATAAAATAGATTTCGAAAACATTAAAATACTTTATAAATCAAACTGCCGATCAAAGCTAAACATTTTAGAATCCATCTATAAAGCAATAAACGAAAAAATGTGCTAAATTTAAAACAGGAAGCAGCCCACATCCCACAACACTATTCTCATATAATAGTCATCATTAAAAATTCAAATAATAGTAAATTAAATAAGGTAGGGTAACTTTAGTTACTAAATAGTTGCGATAATATAGAGGATGCTGATAGTAAATCCTCAGCACTCAGTAAGATGGTGTTCGACAAAGAGGATTCCTATTCTCAGAGAAAGCTGACATGAGATGAAGAACAAGAACACTGTTCTTATCCTTGAAAATGAAGTAAAATTGTGAAAAAAAAGTTTGATTGATTACCATACTTCTTCTAGCTCAGATGGGCTAAGAATGCTGATGAGGGAGTAATGACCAATGGTGAGGGACATTTCTATATTTAATACAAGTTTGATTCTGGTAAGTCGACTTCACAGCTAACTAATAAACAAGATTTGCAAACAACTCTTTAAAAATTCATAATTATAAGATATAATTTAATTTAAATAACAATATAATTCACAACAAACTGGATATATTATTCATTCATAAAGCAATAAAAGTTTCAATTATCATAGAAACCAGGAGACAGACGAAAAGTGAAGGTGAAAAATAGAAAATTTTAGGGTTTATAAGAACAGCAAATAAAATAATCATATAATTCAAGGATTTAAAACTACAGCTCATGAGAACCTGCCTCCAATCCAACCCACCATATTTTTGTTTTCATTCTTTATTATATTGTAAAATTTACAAAATGGAAATTAAGTTTGCAATCATTTGTGATACAAAATGAAAAAAGTTTAAATGTTGAAAATCAACTGTAAATTGTTTCTAAAGTAATTCTGCAGCAGGCATAAAAAATCATCTATGCTTATGTGACAAGGTATCAGTAACATGGGTGTTTGAATTTCTAAAATTTTAAAGAAAATAAAGAAAAGTATTTCTTACTTCTTTTGAAAGGTGCCAACATATATTTAATTGTGAAATTTTAGGGAGAAAGATCACCATTAAATTAATTATAATTTATTATAAATATTAATATAACACTTTTATTAGTATTAATTTATAAAGCTGTTAATTTATTTTAATCCACTGATCTATCATTCTCCAACTAGATAACCTAAACCATTATTCTTCTTTTCATGTTAGTATTAAACAAACCTAACAATGCTCTGGAGTATGTTCATAGCATTTCTAGCTAACCAATA